AGTGGCTCACACCTGTAATCTCAGCACTTCAGGAGGCCAAGGTAGTTCAATCACAAGGTCAGGAGATCGAGACCATCCTGGCTAACACGGCGAAACCCCATCTCCACTAAAAATACAACAAATTAGCTGAGCATGGTGGCAGGTGCCTGTAGTCCCAGCTTCTTGGGAGGCTGAGGCAGGAGAATCACTTGAACCTGGGAGGCACAGCCTACAGTGAGCTGAGATCATACCAGTGCACTCCAGCCTGGGTGACAGAGCAAGACTTCATCTCGGGAGGGAGTAGGGGATGGAAAGAGCTTAGTCCCATTTACAGAAAATGACAAGTAGCACTTGATATTAAGGAGCTAAGTGCTATAGAAACGGCTTGCATCTGCTAAGCTGTTTGATAAATTGAACTCCATTGTCTAGAGTCTCAAGGTACTAATCAAAATATTTAAGATGTGTACAATGACACTAATGTTCTTGGATTATATCAGCAGAAAAAGCACAATACCATTATATTTATAGTGCATTTTTCAACTCTGCCTCATCTCCCAGCCTATTTTCCAAGGATTTAAATCAATTTATTATTCCAATGTACCCAGTAGAGCTTACTTGAATCACTCTGACTGGAGAAAAAGACAAAAAGCTTCCTGAATTGTTGCTGTCCGTCACATATATCAAATTAAAAAAAATTAATTTGAACGACTTGTTCTGCCCCAAGTCGAGTTTATATGGCTTATCTCTATGGGTCTGTGAATATATTAAGACATATGTGTATATGATATAAAATACATTTTCTTAAGGTTTTATGTTTTTTGGACTTTTCACACCTACAACGGACACCCTTCTCTGGGCACACACAGATTTCTGTGGCACTGCAGGTCTCTTCACACCCCCAAGGCTGCCCCTTGCCTTTGTACAGAGTCTTCTTGGGTACTTGGCAGGTGTGTCCACACTCATTTGCAAAACATTTCTTTACCCCATAGCTCTCATTATCAACTTCACAGCTTTCAACGCAGGCAGCTACAAATCCATTGACTTTCCCAGGAGCTGGATAGTCCCCCTGCTTCACCAATATGATGTATTTGAAGAAGTCACAGCTGGTCAAGCATTCATAGTTCTTGGGAAGAGAGACTAAGACAGAGAAGAATTTTTTCAAAATATTCCATTAAAGACACATGAAGTCTGATTTCCAAGACATCTGAAAAGAAGTTCTACATTTTTTTCCCATCAAGCTTTTGCTTGAGTATTTGACGAAATGCATGTATTGGTTTTCTCCTATCAAAGTGACATTTTGTGCTGATTTAAAAGGAACATAATCCATGAGTGATGATTTTTTACTGTATGGAACAGACACACACTGTGTATATGCACCCACATTCATGGATCATATATTCCACCATGGTTCAAAGATGTTTGTCAAAAAACTGATTATAAATAACTTGTCCAGTGCAACTTGAGGGCCCTTTTTGGATTGTATACATTACATATATTTTCATTTTATAACAAGCCACTCTCCCTATTTTTTTTCTCTTTTTTCTTATGGACCAGGTCGCACTTTGTCATCAGGCTGGAGTGCAGTGGTGCAGACGTAGCTCTCTGCAGCCTTGAAATCCCAGTCCCAGGCAATCCTCCTGCCTCAGCCTCCCAAGAAGGTAGAACTAAAATCACAAACTACCATCCCTAGCTAATTTTTATTTTTCCTGGAGATGAGGTCTTGCTATGTTGCTTAGGGTGGTCTCAAGTCCTGGCCTCAAGCAATCCTCATGCCTCAGCCTCCCAAAGCCAGTGGGATAACAGGCTTGAGTCATTGCCCCTGGCTATTTTTTCATATATATTAATACTCATCAAAATAGCAGCAGTTCCGTAAAACTTTACAGTTCTCACAATGCTAACATATTTGTTGGTATTATATAGCATGGTTGTCTAAGCCTCCTAATTGAACCCATTTCAATAATTTCCAGGCTTTATTGTTAATATGAAATTGTCAATGAGTTTTGCAGTAAAAGAACGTGGATCTTGTTTAAAAATCAGCCCACACCTATGTTATCCATAAAACAGTTGGGATTTGAACAGCATCTTGCTGAGGACATTTTGGTTGAGCCCAGAATCTATCAACCATTAGTAAGAATAGCACGCCCTGGACTTATTAGAGAAGTGTATTATTAACAAAGCCTGAGTAATGTGAAAGAGCCATTTTTTCAAATGTCTATTTTTCCTTAGGAAAAAAATTGGTTGGGGAAAGCAATTGGTTATCCCTGCACTCAGAAGATAATGGCTTCCTTCTGCCATGGAATGGAGGAGCTGCTGAGACTTCTAAATCCTGCCCCATCCAGGGAAAGAAAGAGAAAGGATTCTCTCTGTGCCCTTGCCCTCCTTTTTCCTTAAGGAGGAGAACAGTCAAGACAGCTCCACAAGCCTCAGCCCTAACCCTAAATACCTTTTTGCTTTATAAAAGATGGCAGAAAAGATGAACATCATAACTTTAACTTTTACCCCAAGCCTCCTTTTATTCTTATGGGAGATGCTTTCCACCATAGCAACTATTCTGTTAAAGACACATGAAGTCTGCTTGAAGGTTTGACAAAATAGATATATTTTTTTCTTTTATCCTATCAAAGTGGCATCTTCTCCTATCAAAATGCATTTTCACCTGGAATGGCTGTGCAAAGCCAGGTTAAATTTCATTGCCTTTCTTCTACATAGGGGAGCCATGTTCTCATGAATGGAATGTAATCAGCAAATTTCTGTGCCACTGTGGACTGAGGCTTGCAGGTGGTAGGTGATGGCACCCCTGTGTTCTTATTAGCAAGATATGGGTGGCACCACAGCTGTAGGGACTGGTGGGACCACAGGAGGAGAGATGCTGGGATGTCTGTCTGCCCACATGGAGGAAGCCAGCACCCTGCCACAAATTGCTGCCTTACAGTGCTCCATGGGCAAAATGCAAGTATGCATGTTTTGAACAATTGTACATGTCAAGTTCTGTTCACTACAACAGTTCAGCTACCCAAACCAATACAAAGGCCATCTAGTGATGGGCTACCATGGTTCCTCAACGTTGGAAGTGGAAGATGGACAAGGAGGACACTTTCTGTTTATTTGATGTCACAACAGGGTTAGGAATATAAGAAATAAATGTGGTGGCTTTGGTGAACAGAAGTCCAGAGAGAGACTAGGAACATCATGTTACTCAATGCCAGCATGCTGCTTGATGCTCCACAGTGATCCCTAACCAGGGCTCATTACTGGTAACATCTGGAAACACCTGGGTTACACCTAAACGGTACCTGGGAACACTCACCTGTGTGCTACTTGCTGCTCCTCCCTGATGACTAAATATGCCTCTGCACCATTGTGACACCTGGGTAACACCAGCTCATCCCTACCACTGCCTGGTAATGCCTGGGCAACACCTGGAAAACACCTGGTAAGACCTGCCCATGTGTTGCTGCTGCTTCTCAGTAGTGGTTGAATGTAACTCCCTACCATCAGGTTATACTTGCTAAACCTGCCGGCATGCTGCCGGCTACTCCTCCCTGCTAACAGAGCATAACCCTTTCGTCAGATAGGTGTCTGGTGGCACCTAGGTACCCTGGAGACGGGGTTATCTAGAAAAGACGTCATGAAAGATTTGGGATATTAACCAGAGTACTTTACACAATGGTAGAGGTATATTAATTAAGCAAAAAAACACGGCCAGGCACGGTGGATCACACCTGTAATCCTGGCTGGTAGCACTTTGGGAGGCCGAGGTGAGTGGATCACCTGAGGTCAGGAGTTCAAGATCAGCCTGGGCAACATGGTGAAACCCTGTCTCTACTGAAGATACAAAAGTTAGCTGGCTGTGGTGGCAGGTGCCTGTAATCCCAGCTACTCAGGAGGCTGAAGCAGGAGAATAGCTTGAGCCCGGGAGGAAGAGGTTGCAGTGAACTGAGATCGCACCATTGTACCCCAGCCTGGTGACAGAGACTCCGTCTCAAAAAACACACACACATACACACACACACACAAAGAAAAGTAAAGAAAAGAAAAGAAAAGCACTTCAGCATTATCAAAGTCTCTAGTGAGAGGTGAGAGATTCAGGGGACAAATGTTTCTAACTCTTTTCCAAAAACATAGTTAGTTCACTAATTTTAGTCTACGATTCTCATGCTGATGATGACTGGAAATGCCACTGAAGGCTCAAAACATAACTTCACAAGGGAATATCCCAGTAATCCCAGGATAACTACAATTTCAATGTAAATTATTCTCCACGGTCTCACATGGTTCTTTTTCCCAAACACTGTTGAATTAAAATATATGTAAAAGTTAAGACAGCAAATGTTATATTATTTGCATTTTACCAGAATTAAAAAAAAAAAGGACAGAAAATTTTTATACTATAAGAATGTGTGTAGCACCAAATACTATTGCTTGGCAGTGACAATAATCTTTCCTATATTGCAAATTTAATGAACAACAAGTTACAAGTTAAATACATTTCATTACAAGTTAAATACAATTAAATGCCTGTTCTTAGATTAACAGAAGGAAAATGGTAGAAGTACTAGCTAGAAAAAGTGTAATTTCAAATTTTGAATTGGAATTGTAGGTATCAGATGAAGATGTTTATTAGTTATTAATCATTTATAAAACGTGAAATAACATGAATTGGCTGTACTAACATTACTTCTCAATTTAAGAACTTTAAGGTAAAGCTTAGAAGAAAAGCCATAGTGTCATTATTGAATTATGACAAATTTGCAGCTAAGTAATTAAAAAGAAACTTTACAAGCATTTAAAGCATCATCAACTCTCGAGGCTTTTTCTCTCACTCTGTTTTACAGTTCTTTTTTCTGTTAGCTGTTAGATGTGTTTTACTTCATTGAGTTTTGAAGCTCTAAATTTTGTTTCAAATCCAAGTAACCAAAGAAGTATGCTAACAGATTTGTAACAATTGTGTAGAATTCACCAACTTGCTTCTTTCAACAAAACATACACATTATACCCACTGAAAGAAAATACCTAGTTACCAAACTCACTGGCCACTGTCTCAGGGCTGAGATTTCCAAGTAGAAATACTCGCTTCCTGCTTGGTAACTTGGAAATCACAATTACTTAGCTTGCACCATGATATAATAAAATCAGCTCAGTTCATACTTCTTCACCTATGAAAATAGAGAATGAGTCAACAGTCAGATAAAGTTTGGATCCTTTATTCATATGTTATTTTAATTATCTATATGCCATCTGCCACACCCTTGACCTCTGAAAGATAGGAACACAGAAGTCGTGCCTCCTTATTTTCTTTACTTACTGAACTATTGGGGCATATTTACATACAAATAAACAAAGACAGTGAGCTAGAGCAGTTATGAAGCATGTGTTCCCAATAAGCATAAAATGAGAATGATCATAATTTGCCCAACAATTTGATCTTTCAGTTGATATGAGAGTTGTTTTGTATGGATATTTATTTTTTTCCTTTTTGGTAAGAATTCAAAAACGTTTTTTTGTGACTATTTTGGGGATCAGAGAAACAAATATTCATCTTTGCACTCAAGGTTTATGGACTGTTATGTAATCTTGAAATAATACAGGTTATATTATGAATATTACATGAAGTAACACACAAAAAGAACTAGACAAGATTGTGCATAGTTGGTCCACAATACATACTCAATAAGAGTTAAATAATTTATGTCTTTTTTCCACTTCTACAAGTTTACTCTTGAACATTTCAAAATTCTTCTAGTATACTGACAAAATTTTTAAGAGATCCAAAGACAGAAAGTATTCCTACATATTTCTACAGTGTGTCCATTCACTAGATTTCAACCTACTATTTCCAGATTAAGCACTGGAAACTGCATCTAAGAAATTGCAACACATAATTAAATGAAGTTCATCTTAGAGTAGTGTGGATTTGTTGCAGCAATCTTACAGAGGAGCTTTACTGAACTGTTTTTTTGTTTATTTTTATCAAAGGCAAATTTTGATGCTATTAATTTTCTTGCATAATTCTCTTGGATTAGGTTAAAAAATATTACTCTGAATATAGAGAACATATGGTATGTGTACACAAGGTCTCTCTCTAGGTCATTAATCATAGTTTAATGATAATTTACTAACTGAATGGAATAAGGAGAGAAATGTGTATAGGTCAGGGAAAATGCTATGTGAATGTTAATACTCTAAATATAAAGAAAATGTATTAATTGGTCTCCAGTAGGAAATCCTGTGAACAAAGATAATTTAAGTGTCATAAAAGTATGATAACTTCTGACCCTTAAGCATGTAAAATTTCATGTGATAATAAAAGTTAATTATTTAGAGACCTAAGAGAAATGTGAAAATATTGGAAAAGGACTTAATCAAATCAGTATGTGTGTAATACCCATCAATTTTATGGTAAATAAAGACATGTGTGATAACAGATATATATGTGGTCCATGTTCTATTTCCTGCTAGTACAATTATATGCAGGAAATTCAGACAAATTATTAACTGTAAATTAATTTTTATAACTACAATTCAACTATTCATATTATTAATTTCATAAATGACACAAATGTCACTCTTGCCAGGTCACTGGCTCCAATTGAAAATTTGAAAAAAATGTGGTCACTATGCCCATTAATTTTGTTTTGCCTTACTGTCCCTAAAACTGGGAAATAAATAGTCTGCAAAGATTATGTTTTTTGTAAAGCAGTAATTAATGGTATCTAATAGATGTCATTATGCCTCCAAAGAATAGACAGACAACCCAAAGTATTAAAGAAAAAGGTCTTTGGGACATATTAGATTAAGTAAAAAAATCCCACATCTGTTTAGGAATAGATACATGTCATATTTTATATTAACATGCAGTATTAATTAATTCTCATAAATCTGTCTTATATGTCATCTCCTAAGGTCTAAAAACTAAAATGTGGTTTTTAGTGCCTTACTACCAGGATAATATGCGAAGCTTCACTAAGAAGAAAATGACTAAAACATTAACTCATCCACCTGTGGCAAGTGGCTAAAAATAAAATTAAATACTATCAAAAGTAGGTAACGTTTCCTGAATGCTTTCAAAATGAGGGATAATATCATCTTTTCTAGTTTGGTATAAAATGCAAGGTATTGTACTGTAAAATAATCTGTGCAGCAATCATGGGATGATAAAGTCGTCCAATTCGGGAAATTACCTTAATGTGTTTAAAATCACACAAATACAAGGCTTCAGCTTTGAAGAGAACATTGTATTTGGCATTTGGTTCCATTTAACAGACTTATACCACATGTCAATTCCGTAGGATTATAATTGCCTTTGCAAAGAGCCAGGGATTGAGGGGCTTCTTTTCCTGCTCCTAGCCAACAACCAGGATTGTGGACTACAATGAAACCTCGAATATACAATTTCCTGAAATGAGTGCTCCATCATTATCACCACTGTCACCACCACCACCATCACTATCATTACCATCATCATTAGCAGTGGCAGTTAATCACCAAGAGATGCTGATGTCTGCCACATCCCTCACTCTACCCCAGTTGCTTTACTTTCTCATCTCACTTATTCTTCCCACTTCCCACAATTGTTATTATTTCCATTTTACAAATGGGGAAACATCAGCTCAGGGAGATAATATAGCTCAAATCACAAAACACATGAGTTTGGGCAATGATGACAGCCAGTGTTTTCTGAGGGCCCCACCATATCTCAGGGTAAAATAAGATTAGGCTCACCCAGAAAAAATCTGCTTCCCTATCAGAATTTCCCAGGGAGCTTCTAAAACTGACATCCTGGGTAAACTACTGACCCCTTACTTCTGCACCCTGCACTTTGGAAAGAATCCCTGCTGGTCCCAATGTGTGGCCAAGAATAGAAATCTGCTGGGTGAATAGCTGTCTAAATTTTTGTGTTTGGTTATTAGATTTCATGATTCTACATGTTTATAAATAACCTGAATATTCTAAAATGCAATCTTACACTTCCCAGTAAGACATATTAGGGTGATTCCCAATTTCTGAATGCTTCACTCCCAAAGCACAGTGAGACGAACAAAAAATTAATTCAATACAAGAGCATGAAGACAAGGTAGTGAGACAATGAAATGAGATGAGAAGGGATAGAAGAGAGTTAAAAACTTGTCAACAATTGCAGCTATCAACTGTAGCACACAACTCAGACTTCCACAACTCTCTGATTGGACAGAAGACTGGCCTTACAAAGATTATTTTCTGATAAGCAAGCGCAGACAGTAAGTCAGTTTCAGTTAACTTAAAGAGGCTGTGCACAAACTTTGTATAGTCCTATAGTTCACTTTTCAATGTAACAAGACAAATTTGTCTCATTTTGATGCTAAAACCTCATGCAAAAGTGAACACTGGATATATGTTATTATGAGAGTATTTTAAGAGAGTTAGCCAAAGTTTTAGCAGAAAAATGCCCAAGGAAGCTTCAGGAGAGAGCCCTTTTCCACCACAATAATGTCCCTGCTCATTCCTCTCATCAAACAAAAGTAATTTTGCCAGAATTTCAATGGGAAATCATTAGGTATCCAACTTACAGTCCTGATTTGTCTCCTTCTGACTTGTTTTTGTTTCCTGTTCTTATAAGAATATTTAAAGGGCATCTATTTTTCTTCAGTGAATATTTTTCAAAATCTACCATTGACATGGTTAAATTCCCAGGACACTCAGTTTTTTAGGTATAGACTAAGTGGCTGATAACATCAAATTAAAAAGTGTCTTAAGCTTGATAGAGCTTATCTTGGGAAACAATGTTTATATGTTTTATTTTTAGCTTTTGATTACATTTTTTCATGAACTTTCTGAAGGCCTCTTGTATATGCAGCCACTTTCTTCAGACATTGGACAATAGTTGGCACAAGACAAGAAAATCTGAAAGGACACAAATGAAAAAATGAATGATTTGATCCAGTTTCAAATCTACAGTGCAAGGAAGGCTGATCCCAAGATAGTTCTGCAGTATTTTCAAGTTGTGGAGAAACAGATTAAAGCTTGAGGCTGAGATGGCCAGCTCTTGTGGGCAGACTATCAAGCAGGATGAAACTGCATGAAGAGAGAAACACGGAGAGGTTTAGAGGGACTTCTTAATTTTTAGCTGAATACTGACCTGAATGTGCATGGCTTCAGACTGCGTAAGTCTAGGGAAAGAACAACCAAACATCAATAAAGGAAACCATTCTAGTAAAAACTCACATTTCAAACAGTCAGAGTGGAGAGAATGCGCAACTCATGAAGCGATGGCTAGAGTCCTTAGAAGGATATGACTTTAGTAATGGGATAAGTTAGGCAATTCTAAAGGCTACTCTGAACCTACCTGAAGAAACTTAAAAGAAACCTCAAAATAAGAAAACGAATCTCAAAAGGAACTTAATTACATGTTAGAACAAAGTCTAAAGCTTTCTAGAAAGATATAGCAAAATTCAAAACACAAAAACTTGAGATCCAACCAAAAGTAATTCACTGTGCAAAGAAGAAAGAAATTGTGGCACGTAAACAAGATGGGAAAAACAAGATCTACAGAAGCAGAATGAGACATTATTATAAAGATGATAAAATTAACAGTGAAGGACATGTAAAAGCTATTACAAATATGCTCCGTATGCCCAATAATGTGGAGGAAAATGTGGACATAGGGAGGAAAGGAATGAAAGATGCAGAACAGAACTGTGTAGAACTTCTAAAAGTAAATAGGAAGAAATGAAAGATATGCCAAATGGGATTTTTAAAATATTAGACACTATGGAAGACAAGATTACTTAAAAGAAAAGCAAAGACACAATGATTAAAACAAACAAAACAAACAAACAAAAACAACAACTATCAAAATGGGCTGGGTGTGGTGATTCACTCCTGTAATCCCAGCACTTTGGAAGGCCAAGGCAGGAGGATCACCTGAGGTTGGGAGTTCAAGACCAGCCTGACCAACATGGAAAAACCCTGTGTCTACTAAAAGTATAAAATTAGCTAGACATGGTGGTGCATGCCTGTAATCCCAGCTACTTGAGAAACTGAGGCAGGAGAATTGCTTGAACCCGGGAGGCAGAGGTTGCACTAAGTAGAGATTGCGCCATTGCATTCCACCCTGGGCAGCAAGACTCTGTCTCAAAAAAAAAAAAAAAAGAAAAAGAAAAAAAAAAAAAACTATCAAAATGAAGCAGAGGATGGAAAATGACAAAAAGAAAAAAAAAACAAAAACAAAATATAACACAACAGATCGTAGACTCATTGACCCATGAAACAAAATAAGCTGGTCTAATATGTATCATTAGAGTCCCAGAAGGAGAGAAGAGAGAAGATGGGACAAATAAATAACGTTGAACAATAAATTAAAAATTTGATTAATATGTTATGTCTGTAGTTAGAGGAATCTCAGTTACCCCTAAGCAAAAGAAACAAAGATAATTCAATCAAAGTATATTTAATCATATGCTTCATATACCAGATACAGAAAGAAAATCTTCAAAGCAGATAGAAAAATAAAAAGACACTTTATAAACAGTAAAACAATAAGAATGTCAAAAGATTTTTCAGAAAATATGCATGACAGAAGAAAATGAAATGATATCTTTAAAATACTATTTTTTAAAATAAATTAACCTGAAATTTTATACCCATGAAATATCTTTAAAAACTGAAGATGCTGAGGTGGGTGGATTACAAGGTCAGGAGATCAAGACCATCCTGGCTAACACAGTGAAACCCCGTCTCTACTAAAAATACAAAAAAAATTAGCAGGACATGGTGGTGGGCAGCTCTAGCCTCAGCTACTTGGGAGGCTGAGGCAGGAGAATGGCGTGAACCCAGGAAGGGGAGCTTACAGTGAGACGAGATTGCACCACTGTACTCTAGCCTGGGTGACAGAGCAAGACCACATCTTAAAAAAAAAACAAAAAAACAAAAAAAAACTGAAGATGTCTTAAAGACTACCTCAGATATACAGAAAGTGGATCCATAACAACTACCCCGATTACAAATGTTAAAAACAAAAGGAAAATGGTAACAGATGAACACTGGGGTCTACACAAAAAATGAAGAGTTCTAGAAATAATAAATACGTGATTATATTAAAAAGATGATTTTTTTTTGTTTTTATATCTCTAAAAGAAGATAAATTTAAAGCACAAATGATAAAAATGTGATGTGGAGCTTGCAACAAATGTAGAAGAATGACTTTTAACACTAATGCAAATGAAGGAAATAAACAATGGAAGTATACATTTATAACATTTTCACATCACACCTGAAGTCATTCACGACCAAACATACTGTGTTCCAAAAAGCAATTCTGAAAAAATTCAAGAAGATAGAAATCTGAAGTACTGTCTTAAGAAAAGGTAACTTAACCAGAAATCAATAGAAAGATACCTCTAAAATTCTCAAATATTTACAAAATAAACCATGCCTTCGTGTGAAACTCAAAGATAGAATTACAAAACTAATTAGAAAATTTACCTGTGTAAAACCAAAAACATGCTATAACACAAAATGTGGGTTTTAGCTAAAGTAGTTCATAGGGCAAAATTTATAGCATAAAGTTCTTACATAAGAAATGAAAATAAGATCTCAACTATCTAAGCTCCTACAATAAGATAGTATATAAAGAAGGTCAAACTCTTCAAAATTAAGCAAAAGTAAAATAAATAAATAAAAGATCAAAAACCAACAGCATAGGAAATGACCAAAATAAAGAAAAGCAACAAAAGAAAAAGTTATTTTTTAAAGGAGCACTAAAATTGACAAAATTCTATCCAGATGAATCGAGAAAGAAATAGAGAGTACATAACTTATCAATATCAGTATTGCAAAAAATTTCATCACTACTGATCTAATAGACATCAAAATGCTAACAATAAAGGTGAATTAGGCAATATGAACTACCCTATTTTTATTAATGTGATAACTTGCATCAAACAGTTCACTTTCTACAAAGTCTCAGGCAATATAAATGCTACTGAAAAAGCAATGGAAAATGTGAATAGCCCTATGTCTACTAAAAATTTGAAATAACATATAAAAGTCTCAATAAGTAGATAAAATTTAAGCCCATACAGGAGCCAGAAGGAAACCTCTCATTCTACTTCTTAGAGAAGATAGATGTTAGAATTCCTTCCACACTCCTCCATGAAAGCTCTGTCAATTCAGATAAAAGGAGACTCTCTTCATTCATTGATTCATTTAACCTGAGTCCATCATTCTCCTAGTTACATGACACAGGAATACTAAACTTTGTTCCTGCTATCATGTTTGGACTGCATTGGGGAATAAAAATAAAGCAACAATTACAATTATGCATCTTTAGTAATAAAACAGTATTTTTGCTTTTATTTATAAAGAACTATTTTTATCTGCTATTTTTTTCTTTTTTTTGTTGTTTTGTTTTTTTGAAATAGGGTATCACTCTGTCATTCAGGCTGGAGTGTAGTGGCACAAATATGGGTCACTGAAACCCAACCTCCTGGGCTCAAGCAATCCCCCTGCCTCAGCCTCCTATCTAGCTGGGACCACAGGTATGTGCCACCATGTCTGCTCTTTTTTTTTTTTTTTGAAAAGATGGAATCTGATTTTGTTGTCCAGACTGACCTTAAACTCTTAAACTCCTGGGCTCAAGTGATCCTCCCATCTTGGCCTCCCAAAACGCTGGGATTATAGGTGTGAGCCACTCAGCCCAGACTCATCTGCTGATTTTTAATCATTTTAAGCTAATTCACACTCTGTCCCTGTAGACTATCACAGCAGCAATCATGGAAGGTTTCATGGAATTGGTAGAAAACTTCATGTTAGGGCTTTTTTGTTTGTTTGTTTTTTAAAACAGGGTCTCACTCTGTCACCCTGACTAGAATGCAGTGGTACAAACATGGCTCACTGCCATCTTGACCTCCTGGACTCATGCAATCCTCCTGCGCCAGCCTCCCCTTCTACAAGCATATGGTATCATAGGCACAAACATGGCTATACCTAAAAATGGGGCACCCCAGTACCCAAGAAGTACATCCACATACTTGCTACTCAAAGGCTAGGCCTTGGTTCATCAGCATTCGCATCCCTTGGGAGCTTGCTGGAAATAAAGACTCTCCTGGCTGCACCATATACCTACTGAATACCATATGCCTACTGAACACCATAAACCTGCTTAATCAGAATCTGCATTAAAGCAGATTCCTAGATGATTCATGTGCATGACCAAGTGTGAGAAGGCCAGTTCTGGATCATGCTGGACACTGGAGTTGGCATCTTCAGATGCATGAGTTTCTCCCTCTCCACATTGAAATTTCCTTCAGCCCTAGTTCCTTACTCCAGAAATCTAGTTATCCAATTTGTGCTCCATGTATCTCTGACTTAACATTCCTCCCTGCCCCCTAGCATATAAATGTATTCCAGTCTTTCCAACGTAAAACACAAAAATCAGTTTCTCAACCATGAAATCCCCCTAACCACAGTCTCCTCTCTCTCCTCTATGCTCTAGAGACAGTCTTAGGGAAAGACTTTAAACTTACAGAAAGAGTTGCATGTATGTGGTCTGAATTTCCTCCTTACATTTTATTCTATAACCCAGAGTTGTATGTGTTACCTACTATTGATGCACAGAAAGTCTCAAACAGATTTCTTGTGACTTCCTAACTACAAAACTTTGTGAGCCCTTTCAGTCCGCATCTCACTGACCTGCCATAGAATTAAAAAACGTTGACCTTGTCTTCCTCTTTCATAGTAAAAGTAGCCAATGTGTATGTAATGTGTGTTATCTTCAGATACTGGTTAAGTGCTTTACATGCATTCAAGAAAATTCTTTTTACTTAAATTTAATGCTTTTGCAACTTTCATGATACTCCCCTAACTGCTTATGTGCCTACTTGCCTACCCCTTCTTTTCAGACTTAGGTCTTTAAATCATTCTGAATAATCTCCAGTCTTGGTCCCATAAATTTTCACAACTCATCAATTCTTCTACAACTGAGTCTAGAATAATTTGATACTCCCTGGAGTAATATAAAAATTACATGAAAACTGAGTCTCAGTGCTTAAAAAAGGAAAAAAAAAACTTTATGTTCCAGAACTATACAATTTGATACAATGCAGATTGCACCCATCATATAGTGGTTGGCAAAGAAAATCTCATAACAATTATAAAAATCCATAGGCAT